CGCTGCCTTGCGTTTCTTGGCGGTGCGCTGCTGGATGACCGACTTCAGATCTTCAGTGCGACTCTCCCACTTCGCGATGTCCTCGGACTTGTGGGCCAGGTCGTTTTTCGCCGCGATGAGGTCGGCTTCGGACTTCTTCAGGGTGGTCCGCTCCGACTCGTCACATTCCACGGTGTCCAGCGACGCGAAGAACTCTGTGTCCCACGTGAGGTCGACCACCTGCTTCCCCTCGCCGCTGGCCCCGCTGCTGGCGATGCCAAGCTCGGCCGCGAGCGCCTTGGCCGCTGCGCGCTTGGACAGCGACGCCTGCGCCAGGACCCTCAGGGTCTCGGACTCCTTGAGCTCAGCGCGCTCCAGGTTGTCACGACAACGCTGCACATGAGCCACCGCCTGCTCGTGACGGAGGCACGCGTCCTTCCATGCGCCCTCCGCCCTCCTCACGGCTTCCGTCGGCGCCACGGCCGCCGTAGCCGCCGTCGCCTTGGCGGCTGCCTGCACCTGCTGCGCGCGGAGCTCCGGCGACTTCTTCACCGCGGGGTCCGTCGCCATCGCCGCCGCCTGCGCCAGGAGCCCGCTGAGCGAGCCACCTGCGCCAGCGCCGCCGCCTGCGCCAGCCCCGCCGGCGCCTCGACCTGCTTTGTGCTTTGGTCGCGCCGCCCTGCGCGCGGTCGGGCGCGGCTGCCGCCTGGGGCTGGCCGCCTCCCCGCGCCTTCTCTTTGTAGAGCTCGACGGGTCGAGCGCACCTGCGGCACGTGCAGCCGTTCTGCATCATCACCTCGTTGTACTCGCACGTGCCACATGCCTTGCATGCTGACCACGGGCCGCGCACATAAGAGGACATGGCTGCTAACGGACTAAGCTTGCCTCTCTTCGCCAGCGGAACTGACCACAGATCTGGATGTGGGAAGTCCGCTGCCCCTCAAGCACGAACGTGGATGTGAGAGGCTTCAACCCGCTGCTGCAAAATGCGCGCTCGGGTCGAAATGGGCTTGAGAGGAGGGTGAGGAGGAGGAGGAGGAGGTGGAGGAGGAGGAGGTGGGGGAGGAGGAGGGGGAGGAGGAGGAGGAGGAGGAGGAGGAGGAGGAGGAGGAGGTGGGGGAGGAGGAGGAGGAGGAGCAGGAGGATGAGGAGGAGGAGGAGGAGGAGGAGGGGGAAGGGGATGATGATGATGATGAGGAGGAGGAGGAGGAGGAGTATCAAGGACTTTTTGGACAAGTCCAGCATGAGAGGGCGAATGTCATGGATCTCATGCTTCGAGACCCACGGCTGCAGTTACCTCGGGCGCTCCAACGCCTTCGTTTGTCACAGTCCCCTTCGAAGGGGGTCCTGACCTGGCGGGGGTAAGCGACGCTCCGTCAAGAGGTGGTCATATGCATTGCTGAAGCACGGTGTCTACAGCGGCCCATATGGGTTGCCAGAGTCGCTGCGTTCAACTGGTGGGAAATTGGGGTCAGGGGCTTCGGTGGTCAATGGAGCAACCAGGGAATGCGGGCAACAATGAATGTGATTCTTTCTGGACCATGAATCGATGGTAGCGTTTGGTCGAACAGGAAAGTCGATTGAATCGATGGTAGCGTCAGTATACATGTGTATATATATATAATAGGAAAACAGAACGAGAGAACGAGGGAGAGGGATATATCAGTGTGTATACTGTAGACGAACAGGAGAAGGTCCATTTCATGTGTTGCTTCCCACAGTGTGGCAACACGGACCTGGTCTTGCTCAGGCGGGTGACACGAAAAGTCTTATGTCAATTCGAGCCGCGTGTTAGCATTTGCGAAATTCGCACGCCTTGCCATGCAAGTGCCAGCTTATACATCGATCTGTGGTGTGCACACCCACTGCACGAGGGTACGGTTAACGCGCAGAGCGGCAAGGATGCGTGGACGCACCGTGCGAGGAGGAGGAGGAGGAGGAGGAGTAGGAGGAGGAGGAGAAGTAGGAGGAGGAGGAGGAGGAGGAGGAGGAGGAGGAGGAGCAGCGCGAGGAGCAGTTCCGGCGGCCCCAGCTGCGGCGCCCCGCCCCCCCTCCTCTCCCCCCCCCCGTTTGAGAACCCGCACAGCCCCCCATGGCGCGTCCAACAACACCTTGGGACCCCCTCGAGCTCCATGCAGCCCGGAAGTCCCTCCTATCTCGGCGGTGCGCCTAAGAGGAACGGCTGAGGGGGCGGGCCTGCTCAGCGGGTTCAGAACTCCTTCGGCCTCCTGCTCAGAAGCGCAGCCACGTAGAGCTCTAGAGAAGGCCAGAGGGCTTCTGAGAAGCCCCGCCGCCATCCAGGAATGCCTGCCCCCCGTCCTCCTCCTCCTCCTCCTCTTCCTCCTCCGCCTCCTCCTCCTCCTCTTCCTCCTCCTCCACTCCTTTTCCTTATGAATAACTTCCCCCTGTCGCACCCCGAGGCCAGTTTTTAGAGCGGGCCGGGCGTTTCGCCTGTCAAACTTTGCAGGATCTTCAAATATTGAGGGTGGGTCGTGTTCAAAATGTGGTTTTCGCCTTACCGCCGTGCACATTCGTTTTCAATTTCAAGCTTTGCAAGAGCTTCAAATATTGAAGGCGGGTCGTGTTCAAAATGTGGCTTTCGCCTCGGCGCCGCGAATATTCGTTTTCGAACTTTGCAAGAACTTCACGGATTGAGGGCGGGCCGTTTACAAAGAACATGTTCTCGCTGTAGCACCGCGCACATTCGCTTTCAAAGTCTAAGTTTGCAAGAGTTTCACGGATGGAGGGCGGGTCGTTCTCAAAATGCGGTTCTCGCCTTAGCGCCGTGCACATTCGTTTAAAACACTGCAGGAGTTCCATGGTCACAGGGCAGTCGCTATTCCAAAGTGTGGCTATCGCCTTAGCGCCGCGCGCATTCGCTTATAACATTTGCAAGAGTTTCACGGGTGTCCATGATCATCGTGCCAGAAATGGTGTCTTGGAAGGATTCAGGATTATCAGGGTGCAACAGTTATGTTAGTTCGCGGTGTTGAAGTCCCAAGAATGGCGTCCTGACACGTTTCGTCAAGACGCGACAATCAGGTTGATCCGTGCTATTGGTCTCACGAAAGCAATGTACTGGCATGATGCAGGGTCTTCAAACGGCTCTTATCTAGCGAGGCAGTTCCCTCAGTGGAATGAACCGTTGTAGGGGCCTATGAAGAGGGAGCTTGGAGATAGGCTTTTTCCAACATCGCTGGTGACTCTTGGGTTTGCACTCCTCCTCCTTCTCCTCCTCCTCCTTCTCCTCCTCTTCCTCCTTCCCCTCCTCCTGTGCCTTATCCCTTGCTCCTCCTTCGCCTCTCCCTCCTCCTCCTCCTCCTCCTCCTCCTCCTCCTCCTCTTTCTTCTTTTCCTCCTCCTCCTCCTCCTCCTCCTCCTCCTCCTCCTCCTCCTTCTTCCCTTCTCTTCCCCCTCCTCATTCCTCATCCTCCTCCTCCTCCACCCCCTCCTTTGCCTCCTCCGCCTCCTCCTCTCCTCCTCCTCCTCCTCCTCCTCCTCCTCCTCCTTCTCCTCCTCTTCCCCCCCCTCTCTCCCCCGTGGCCGCGCCGCCGACGATTCCCCCCCCGATCCGGCCCCTGGAGGCCCCCCCTCTAGGCCCTAGGTGCTCAACTCGAGCGCGCCGTGGGCATGGGGGCCTGCCACCTGGCGTGCGGAAGCCCCGTGCGCCCGCGGCTCCTCCTCGGAGGGGCCAGTGCCGTGGCAGTTGCCGGCTCATCCCGCCAAGGCACCCGTCGGGGCCGCCTGCGATCCGGCTCGGCGCGGTAGAACTCGCCAGCTGAGGCCGTGAGGCCGAGTCGATGCGCTTCGCTTCGGCTCGCCGGAACCAGCTGTGGCCAGCCAGAGCCAGGGGCTGCGGTCCGATCTCGATCCGATTCGGGACGGTTTGCTGGCGATCCGCTCCGTGTCCGATGTCCGACCCGATCCGATGTCGCGGCTCGACCCCACTTCGCTGCTCTTCCTCCCCTTCCTCCTCCACCCTCGCATGGACTTTGGCGTCGTTTTCTGCTTTCTGCTCGTGGCCTCCAGGGGCCTCTCGGCAACAACCCTGGGGGCTGTTTGTGCCCCGAGCTTCTTCTGTGCGTGGCCCACTTGGGCCTGGCAAGGGCACCGACGAGGGGTGGGTAGGTGGGCAGCAGGCGCCTGTCTCTCTCTCTCTCTCTTGTCAACGGCGAGCGAGGGGTGGAAGTGAGAAGGAGAAGGCTTTGTTCATAAGGCGGCGAGGCTTTGAGAAGCCCTCGCGGCTTCTCAGAAGCCCTCGCGCCTCCGGCCTTCTGAGAAGACTTAGAAATCTTCTCAGAAGGCCGGAGGACTTCCGAGCCTTCTGAGAAGGCCCGCCCCTTCTCACCTCCCCCCCCGGGCTCGCCGCCCATCTTTGCTTTGTCACGACGCGACGAAGGGTTCCTGGGTCTGGGGTCAGAAGTCGGCCCCGAGACTGGTCTTGGGGTGCGCGTGGGCCACATTTGCTCTCAGCGGAATCCAGCCGCCGTGGCGACGAGATCGAAATCCCCAGCAAGGCAAAATTGGCCCAGAAGCGTCTGGCAGAAGCTTCGGGGCTCGCGAAATGTCGAGCCCCCCAAAGAGGGTCTGCCCCCCCCCCCCCGGGGCATGCAACTCCTGGGAGGTTCAATTCAGCATGGCCGCTCGTTCATCCCTAGTCGGAAACCAGCTCCATTCAGGATGGCCCACGTCAGATCGGGCGTAGTCCGTCTCATCCCGCCCAGTCCTGGGCCTACCCGGCCCGACTCGGTTTCATGGCCTCTCATCGGGCCTGATCTTAGCAGGCGAGCAAAGGTATAAGATCAACTGTTTCGTTTTCGCTGTCGGGAGCGCCTGCCCCAGGGCGGCTGGAAAGGTTATGCCTTGCCGCGCCGCCGTAAGGCAAGGCTATACACTTTCCAGCCGCCCTGGGGCAGGCGCCCCCGACAGCGAGAAAGCGCATGCTTTATGCCGCTCTTCGCCCGCTGATGTACGAAGACCTCCAAGGGGGTGATCCCTACTTCTTCCGCGCTGCGCTCCGAGGCGCTGCAGAAGCGGGCCAGCGAGGTGGTGCAGCGGCCTGGGAGTGCCGCAGCCCGCGAGGTGCTGCAGCACCAGAAGCGGGCCAGCGGGCCGGCCATCTTCGGCGCGGCCACGTCCCCCACGGCGTCCCTGCGGCTGGGCACAGGACCCCCTCGTGCCGACGTCGTCGCCGGTGGTCGAAGAGGAATAATCGCCATAAGCATAAACTTTTGGCGCTCCGAGCGAATTTCTTGGATCCGCGTCTGGGCTCCCCTGGGCGGCGCCTCTGGCGCCGCCGCTGGCGCGCTCCGCGTGCCAGGGAGGGGGGTCCAGAGCGCATACAAGAAATCCGCGCGGAGCGCCAAGAGTTTATGTTATATGTTTTTTTCGCCGACGTGCCGACTGTCGCCGGAGGAGGAGGAGGGCGACGGCGATCAGGGGCAACGCTGACCCAGATCCTCCCAGGAGAGTGCAGTTTCGCTGTCGGGGCCTGTTGCCGATCCATCGGCGATGTGTCGCCGATTCTGGCTCGATGTTGCTTCCCCCGCTGAGCCAGTCCCCCCTATCGTTCCCCCTCAGGAGGAGGAGGTGGAGGAGGAGGTGGAGGAGGAGGAGGTGGAGGAGGAGGTGGAGGAGGAGGTGGAGGAGGAGCAAGAGGAGGAGGAGGAGGAGGAGGAGGAGGACATCGACGACGATCAGGGGCAACGTTGGCTGAGGATAGGCTCAGGGGGAATGCGTCGACCCGGAAGCACCCATTTGTTGCAGACAGGGGCCAGACAGCCCGACCTCCCCACGAGTGCGCGGCTTCGCTATGGGCGCCCAGCGCCGAGCTATATCGGCGATGCATCCCGATTCCGGCTCGATGTTGCTTACCCCTCTGAGCCAGCCCCCTTTTCTCGGCCCCCTCAGGAGGAGGAGGATGGAGGAGGATGGAGGAGGAGGAGGGGGAGGAGGAGGAGGAGGAAGAGAAGGAGCAGGAGGAGGAGGAGGAGGAGGAGGAGGAGGAGGAGCCGGAGCCGGAGCCGGAGCAGGAGCAGGAGCAGGAGCAGGAGCAGGAAGGGGTGGAGGGGGGAGGAGGACCGCAGTCGCCGCAGCCTCCGTTGTTTGTCCATCCTGCCCAGGTCGGCATCATCGCTTGCCGTTGCACGCTCCCGCCTTTCAGCCCAAGTCTGTCTGGCGTTCAAGGAGGAGGAGGAGGAGGAGGAGGAGGAGGAGGAGGAGGAGTAGGAGGTGGAGGAGGAGGAGGAGGAAGAGGAGGAACGATCACCTGGAGCCCAGACTTCGGGCGGATTGTTTTATTGACAGCCCCGTGCTCGTTTCGTCTCGGGGGTCTGCGGGGCGCCCTCGGCCCCGAGGGCCCTAGGGGCCATCGGAAGCGGGACCCAGGGCAGGAAGTTGCCCCCCGGAGACAGGGGACAGTTCACTCTGTCAGTTTGCTGCCGTTTTGTTGTCACAATGTTGTATGTTCAGCCGTGCGGCGGTCACGGTTGCCACCGAAGAGGAGACCCCATGAAAATTCTACGACTCCGCGCGGGGTGGTCCCTATCTTTCCTTTAGTCATATAATCTGCTCCTGGGTCATGGCCAAACATGCGACTTTCGCTTGTGACTTCCTTAAAACGAGCGGTTTCCATCGTCCATGGCGGTTTCTGGGGGGTTCCTGAGGTTCTCGCGGTTTTCGTCAAGTTCCCCGTGCGTTTCTTTCTGCGCCGAAGGCAAAGACATGGGTTTCGCTCGAGACATCTTCATCCACTGGCTGACATCAGCTCAGGTGTTCGTGTCTGTGTTGCCCTGATGTGCCGAACGCCCAGTGCGGTTCAATTCGACTCCTGTGGCCCATCTTTGCGAAAAGATGCGCCAGGTAATTTCCCATGCTGCGCCAGGCGTCCGCGTGGAGATCCGAATCCGTGGCAGCCACCATGGGCGTCCGAGCGATGGCAAGTCCCGGACTCCTGGCACCCCGAGCCAGGCACGCCCGACCTAAGCTTATGACGTCGGGGGTCTGGGGACATTGCCAGGGCGGGGCGAAGATCGGGCCGAACGAAAGGGGGGGATGGGGAAAGGGGAGGTCACGAAATCTGCTGCATGCAGCTGGTTTCGGCCCCCCCGCCGCCGGGCCCATTCCTCGATACATGGGCGCCTCCCGGCGCCGGGAGGCGCTGGGAAAATCAGCTGCGTGAGCTGATTCTCTACCCTACCGATTGCTATCCCCCCCCTTTTCGTTCTCCCCGAGAAGAGGGAGGTGGGCGTCCCCAGAACCCAGCGCCAGCGCGCGTATCGTTCCAGAGAGCGCGCTCCTGCAGTGGGTGCGCCACATAAGAGCTCGGTGTGATGGCAGGTGCCCACGGGAATCCTTCATCCCCCGAGTCCCCAGACACCCGTTGGCGTTCTGGATCCAGGCATCCTGCGAGGTTCGAGCTCGGCCGAACGGTGTGCGCTCCAGATGTCTCCTGTCGGCGGCGCGCCCTTGGGGAGACGTGCGGGCCTTCGCAGCAGGCGGCGGGGCTTCTCAGACGCCCTCCGTCGGCTAGACGTAAGAGTGACCTTTCGCCGGAGTGACCTTTGGGACGGGCCCAAATGGGTCCCCCGATCGCCGAACGCGCTGCGACATCAGCGGCTTGCGCGCTTGCGTTTGGCCCCCCCCGCCCCCCTAATGCCGTGCACCAAAGGTCACTCTTACCCAGGGTCACTCTTGCTCGTCGTCGACTCCGGCGTTTTGAGAAGCTTTCTGCGTCTTCGGGGCAGGCTTCGAGCATGGCTCGGAAGTGTCCCCAGCGGGCGCGAAGGCTTCTCCGACGCCCCGCCGCCCTCTGCGAGAAGGCCCGCCCTCACCTCCCCCCAGGGGGCGCGCCGCCAGTGAGGGCAAGGCCGCTTGACGTGTGTGTGTGTGTGTGTGTGTGTGTGTGTGTGTGTGTGTGTGTGTGTGTGTGTGTGTGTGTGTGTGTGTGCAGCCGCGCATCTGACCTTATGCAGCCTCCTCCCGAAGAGCTCGGCCAGCGCTTCTAGGGGGCCACATGCGAACCCTACCACCACCCCCCACGGTTTCTGAGGGGGAGGGGGAGGTTCACTTCGCTCGGGAGCTCCCGAACGAAGTGAACCCCACCCTCCCCCGAAATCGTGGAGGGTAGGGGTAGGGTTCGCATGTGGCCCCCTAGCTTCTTGACCAGCCTGCCGGACAGCTGGGGCCCAATCTCTGGGAGCACGCTCGCTCCTCCAGCCTCCACCACAGAACCTGGGCGTGTGTGTTGTGTGTGTGTGTGTGAACACGCTTCCCAGGAAGCTGGGCCGGATGCCCTAAAGTTTCGGCTGCACTTATGTTTAAGTCGGGCCTGTCCCCCTACAGGAGGAATGTTCAAAAATAGTTCAAAGAATAGTCTGGGGACGATTCTACAGGCTTACGCCACATCCGCCGACCCCTTGTTTTTCTTTGGCGGCTATCGCCGGGTTTCGGAGGCAGGTTCGGACTTCTCCATGGGTGTTTTGGAGCCTGTTGGGGCCTCTGTTGGGCTTCCGGGAGGCTTCCTGGGGCCTTTTGGGGGATCTCCTGGGAGTGCTTGGGGCGTATCGGGGGCCTCTTGGGCTTCCTGGCGGTCTCCTGGGACGGGGCGCGCTCTCTTGTGCCCGTCTTGGGGCTTTGTTGGGCCGTGTTGCGCGCCTCTTGGGCCGTCTGCGGGCTCTCTAGGAGGTCCCCTGGGCTGTTTTGGGGCGGCATCGGGGGCCTCTTGTGCCGTCTAGGAGCGTCGGCAAGCCGAGAAGGTGTTTTTTTTTTCCAAACATGTACGGTTTACGAAAGGAATG